TGCACCAGCAGCAAAGGCAAGAGCCTCTCGCTCGAAGACGGGACCTGCTTTAATTGGGGAAGGCTTATCGGTGTACACAGGAACAGTGGTGCTTGGCAAAGGGCACCTCGCCCCAAACTATCACCTTGCTTGCGTGTGTGCGCGGTCCCCTTCAGACTTCCCTTTTTCTCTCGCTTTCCAAACATATCACACTTGTTTGAGGATGGTTTGAGCGGTTAGGGTGCCAGTTCTGCTCTCTTATAATTTGAAGCTTAATTAGGATTTGAGTAAGCTTATAGATTCATAGAATCACAGAACGGTTTGGGTTGGAAGGGACCTTAAAGCTCATCCAGTTCCAACCCCCTGCCATGGGCAGGGACCCCTTCCACTAGACCCGGTTGCTCCAAGCCTCATCCAGCCTGGCCTTGGACACTGCCAGGGATGGGGCATCCACAGCTTCTCTGGGCTACCTGTCCCAGTGCCTCCTCACCCTCTCTGGGAAGAACTTCTTCCTGATACCCAATCTAAACCTCCCCACTTTCAATTTAAACCCGTTACCCCTTGTCCTGTCACACTGTAAAAAGTCCCCCCCAGCTTCCTTGTAGCCCCCCCCAGGCACTGGAAGGTGCAATAAGGTCTGCCCAGAGCCTTCCCTTCTCCAGGCTGAACAAGCTTGCTCCTGTCCTCAGAACTAGGCTTGCTCGGTGGGGAGGGGCAGTGTTCAGCCCAGAAATAAATGGAAAATAAACGAAGCTTTAAAAAAAAAAAATAGCCCCAAAGTGAAATGCTGCTTAATTGCTCTGAAATCCATCTGGTGCTCTGGATGGTAAAGATAGACTAGTGTGTCATGCCGTGACATCCCACTTACAGATTATATAGATTTTAGTAAAACTTGCCTGTATGATACTACAGTTGGGATATCCTGGTGACTCATGAAGTACCATGGTGGTTTCAGGAACAGAGAGCTTAAAATAAAACCACCCAGACCCCTTCTGTGCTCAGTTCTCCCACAGCAGCAGGTACTTTGTGCTGGAATGGGGCCGCAGAGCAACGGTGAATTTCATTGAGAGGCACTGTAGAGCTCCAGCGGCCATGGGCAGGTGGCCGTGGTTGATGCCAGGTGTCTGAAGTCGGTCACAGGTCAGTGTTTCTGCTGTCTGGTTTAAATTGAAAGGGGGCAGGTTTAGATTGGATATCAGGAAGAAATTCTTCCCAGAGAGGGTGGGGAGGCACTGGGACAGGTTGCCCAGAGAAGCTGTGGATGCCCCATCCCTGGAAGTGTCCAAGGCCAGGCTGGATGAGGCTTGGAGCAACCTGGTCTAGTGGAAGGTGTCCCTGCCCATGGCAGGGGGTTGGAACTGGATGGGCTTTAAGGTCCCTTCCAACCCAAACCGTTCTGTGATTCTGTGGTTTTGTTGTGTTGATTTTCAGCCTGGGCCAGGTACAAAGTGTGGCTGCAATAGGAGCATATCCCAGTACAGTTCTTCGATGGCCGCTCGTGGTGCCTCGAGCAGTGGTCTGCAGCATCTTGCTGTCACCCTTGGTGTGGCTGAATGGCGCGCTAGAAATTGCTGGCTTTGGCAGCAGGCGGTGAGCACAAACAATCCAAGCGCCGCAGTCTTGCGGGAGCTGGAAACGCGGCTGCTCCCTGGTCAGGCTCCTCCGGGAAGGAGCGGAGGTGATGGAGGTAGTTGAATGCTGTGAAAGCCCCATTTGTAGGCCAAAGGCCTGAGTGGCTGTGCTGGGTTGGACTGGTGGTTCATCTGTCCACGCATGTCCTGTGAAGCATCTGCAGCCCTGAGAAGAGCAGGCGTTTTCCACCTTCGGGAGGCTCCAGACCTTGCGGAAGTTGCTTGCCTACCCTGGAGCAGGCTGGATCCCTGAGCCTTGAGCTCGTTCCCTCTTGCTGCTGAAGGAAGAAGATGGAATGTCGGTCAGTTTTCTTGATGTCAAGGCCGGGCTGAGCAGGCTGTCTTGAAGCTGCACATTCCTAACATGGCCAAGGTCAATGCGTTGATTAAGCCCAGCAGTAAGGGGTTTTTGTCTGCTTCCAGATCTGCTTCGTTGAGCACAACATCAGTGAGATCAGAAACATCCAAACCTCATCAACCAGGAGCTGCATGGGTGTGATAATGGAGCTTGTTAATTGGCCAGAAAACGTGGCCCAAGAGGGAGCAGGGCAAGCATGCGGCCATGCACCCGTGTACAGCCCAGCCTGGGAGCTCTGCAGCTTGGGGACAGTCTGAGGAGGCTTTTGGCTGCCGTTTCCAGGTGCGTCTCTTCCGAGGTCCTCCTGTCTTTCCTTGGATGCATACCTGCGGGGTTGTGTGCCAAGGTGTCCCACTGCTCAGCTCCAGGGGTTGCGTGTGACGGGCTTCTCCTGCGGGGTTTTGAACCTGCGCATTGCACCCGCTGTCTCTGGTCCTTGCGCTGGAGGGATGCAGCCAGCCAACGATCGTTCATTAGCTTCTTGTCACCTGCGGTTCTGCCGAGCTCCAGCACGTCACGTGTCGCTCTGTTCCTCTGCCAGCTCTTCTGGAATAGGTGTTCTAAGATTTCTGCGCAGTGGAGCGGATGGAGGGGGGAGGTGGCATGCACCGTGCGGCAGTTGTAGTTCTGGGTGGCTTATTTTGTTGTCGGTGTTACTGTAGTGCCTAGAAAGGGAGCAGGACTGTTGGGTATACAGATTAAACTAGGTGACAGGTGGAGATGCCAAGGTGACAAGGAAGCAGTGAAAATTGGTGGCTGGGAAGCCAGAAGTAGCAGAAAAAGACATTTTCTTGCAGGCCTTCAAAAGCTTTCGGAATCGACTTTGGATCCTCGTGAAGACAAACAAAATTATTAACCTCGTGGAAGTTCCTGTGAGTCTGACTGCTGAAAGTCAGTTTACTCTGACTCCTACACGTGTAGAGGGAGTGGCGAGAAATCAGGTGTTGCTTTCTTGGTTCTTTGCTTCTGATCGTTTCTCTGCATCCTTTCGGTAGTCTGCTTTGCTTTGGCTGCCATGCTGTTGGTTAAAAATAACTCCCTGTTTGAATTCTTCTGACAAAGGGGTGTCACTGCGCTGAACCTAAACCTTGGAGTCCTGTGTGTCTCTCTGGTACCTACTGGGATCCCTTTGGGCTGTTTAAAAAAAATCGGACTGACTTGTCCCTGGGTGAAATGGAAGAAAAATTAGAGAGTTTTATTCTTTTTATGCCTGTTTCAGGTGGTTGGCTTCTGAGTGAGGATTATACCGTGCTGGCTGTGAGAATGCCCATTCCAGAGTGCAAATATACATTACTTTTCAGTCGCAAATAATGCCTTTGATTGCCTCTCCACCATCACTGCCTTTGTAGGAAGGAGGATTTTGGTTTCATCTGGCAATTCTAGTATTGTGAACAAGGTTTTTTATTGGTTCTTGACATTTTTCTTCAGAATTGTTTGATAGAAATATGCATGTGTGGACTTTTTTTCTGTAACCGCTGTGGTTTGTCTCTCGCTCTTAATGGATCACAAACAATGCAGCCCGGCTCGTCAGCCAAACGGTCCGGCATGGCAAAAGAGCCTGGCATGTCCACGGCGCTTCGCTCTATTGTGTCTGTGGAAGGCCCTCTCAGCGTGGGAGGGGAGTGAAAAGCTAGAAAATGAAAATTTTGGTTTAAAAGGAAAAGAAAAAGGCATCTGTTGTTTCCTACTGCAGCAAAATCTGCCCGAGATTCCGCTTTTAGTGACGGTTTCCTTGGGGTCCCATTACTGGAGGTTCCTGTCCTGTGCCTTCAGTCCTGTACCGTTTTCTGCTCGCAGTTCTTGGTGCTTCTATGTCCAAGCATGACTGTGGCAGCGAGAGCCCCTGGATTTTCCAGCTTCTTCCTTTTCGTAGTCGGTTGGAGAAGTGGTTGCAGTAATCGCTTCTTCAGCCTGGTCTCCTCCGCTTTCCCGTGCTGCTGAGCTGACCTTCGTGGCCTGTGCTGTATTTCACGTCAGGGAGCTGCTGGGTTGCAGACAGTGGGAACAAGATTGCTTTCCCGGGAAAAACCCGTCTCTGCATTTTCAAACAACGCAAATTCCCAGAGTGGCTTTTCCCAGGCGTAAGGCAGGTACAGCAGCTTCAACATGCACGGGCCTCGGCAGCCCGGGTCTGCGCCGCCTCCTAAAAGAGGGGTTGGTGTTTATCAGCAAGGGAAATCATCTTGTTTACATGGGAGTGCTGGAATATTTATTTTTGGTCTCAAAGCTGGTTTGTGGGAATTCTTGCTTCCTATTTCCCTAGGGCTGATAACGTGCCTCTTGCCGTTAATGACTGCGTAAACTCACAGCGGTGCGAGCGGGGTTTGTGTGCACCTAGCCATGCTAGCTTGCTTGGGGTGAGGTTTTCTCTGCCTTGGGCTAAGCCTGAAGCAGGTTGTGCAGGAAGGCGACCGCTGCCCAGGAAGGCAGCTCCGGCGCCGGGTGCTGCAGGAGGTGCTGGTCTCCCCAGCTCCCGCTGATGCTGCAGTTTGTGTGTTGGGAACTCGCTCTGCTGTCGCCAAGGATGTCTGCCTGGGGAGAAGGGAGGGGGATGAGGTGGGTGTGTAGTGACAAGCGTCCCCTAAGTGTCTCAGTACGTGGCTGTGGGGAATGGCACCAAGACTTGGGCTCTGTTGTTCGCTGGAAGAACTTGCATTCCTTCACTGTGTTGTTTCTTAGCTTCTCAACGTCACGAACGGTCCGTAGGCTCCTACCAGGACTTTGCAAAGCAGCCACGTATATTCTGTTGCAGGATGCAGAGCCTTGTCTCTGGGGAAGCGTTACTGTGCTGTCGGCTGGGACGGGGCTGCAGCTGAAGTCGCTTGCAGCTTTGGTGTTTGGGCAGTAAACGAACAGAAAGCCTCACCCTCCCTTCACTTGCAAAACATTCTTGTGTTAAAGCTAGGAAGGGTTTGCTTTGCCTGGGGGTGGCCTTGGGGAACAGCCACCAGCCTGAGGTTGTTTTTGAAGGTGAGTATGGTTTAACATAAGCAGTGTTTTTTTACTTGTTTGCTTTTAATGGTAGGTTTGTGCTGGCTGTGGGCAGTGCCGTCTTCGATGCGATGTTTAATGGTGGAATGGCCACAACTTCGACAGAGATTGAACTGCCTGACGTGGAGCCTGCTGCCTTCCTCGCTCTGCTAAAGTAAGCTCGTGATGTACAGGATAACTGGGATGAACAGACTTACTGGAGAGAAGGATATTTTTAGTGAAAGCGGTGAACTATTCTGTGGAGTGGAGATTAAGTTCCTAAATAAAATGCCTTTGTGTTGATCTGTTTGAGGGTGTTTCAGTGCTGGTGTTAAATCTCTCTTTTCCCAGGTAAAAGTCAAGTTTATCTACAAAAATACCACTTATGCTTTGGTTTAGCAATAGTGAAATGAATATAGAATCATAGAATGGTTTGGGTTGGAAGGGACCTTAAAGCTCATCCAGTTCCAACCCCCCTGCCATGGGCAGGGACACCTTCCACTAGACCAGGTTGCTCCAAGCCTCATCCAGCCTGACCTTGGACACTTCCAGGGATGGGGCATCCACAGCTTCTAAAAAGTTCCCCCCAGCTTCCTTGTAGTCCCCTTCAGGCACTGGAAGGTGCTATAAGGTCTCCCAGGAGCCTTCCCTTCTCCAGGCTGAACATCCCAACTCTCCCAGCCTTTCATCATAGCAGAGGTGCTCCAGCCCTCTGATCATCTTCATGGCCTCCTCTGGACTCGCTCCAACCTGCTCTCCTGCTGCTGCTTTGCAGGATGGGCAAAACTAAACTGGATAGCTTATAATTCCATAAATATGTTGTTATATGTGGTTACACCGTGAACGTGCAGCAGTGGGGAGGCGTTCCGGTCAGCAGTTGGAGTATGTGCACGTGCTGGCCCGTGTAGTTAAGTTGATGTTCGCCCTGTTCAGACTTTGTCTCTTAAATTCTTGTTCATGAATTGGTTTGTTCTGATCCAAATGCTATTTGGGATAACTGGGGAAAAGTAATCCTTTTAAACCCCTGTACGTTATGAATACTTGGAGCTCATTTGGGTTACGGGCAAATGAGCAAGTTACAACAGGTAGGCAGGGGTGTGAAACGAGTGTCAGTCACTATGTACAGTGTCTCCCCCCGTGCCTGATGTTTTGGAGTTCTGGTTCTGAATTTACACTTCCAGTGTGCCTTGAGAATCCGCACGCTGGGGGAGGGGGGAGGAAGGGGCCGTAACATCCTATTCACCGATTTCTTTAAGCTCGGCTGGTGCTGTATAGCATCCAGCAGCCATCCTGAATATGTGCTGAAGTCATTGTCCCGTTTCTATAGGATTGCTGTAACCTACTTCCAGGAGTTACCAGGCCTGTGCTCTTGACATGTTCCCCGCTTGCTTCCTGCTGGGAACAATGACTATATATAGCCCTGGCACGCTTCTTGCTTTACCTTCAGAAAGTGCTTCGGTCATGACTGTGCTGTCTTAGATTTTAGATTGATCTTTGCTAGAATGAAAGGCCAGAAATAATAGGGAACCCTTAGCCCTCTCCCCTTTGGCTCATTCTAAACCAGGCACCAGCACATGGGGAATCCCTCTAATTGGCTGTGACTGCCAGCCAGGCAGATCTCTCTGGAGTGCAGAGTGAGTATCTGTAACACTTGGTGAAGCTAAAATACGAAGTGAATTAGAGGCAAAGTCACGTTGTTTCCCTGCCAGTGCTGAGATTTCAGCACTTGCATAAATGCCGTATTGGAAGAGAACCCTCATCTGAAAAGACTAAGGTGAGGAGTTTGGGTGGATTTCAGTGGAAATGTGTGTATTTTGTATAGAGAAACAGTGGGGTTACCACATCGCAGTGCCTCCGCAGCTTGCAGTTGTGCTGCAAGGTAGCTGTGCTCACACTCTGGTAATGTTTAGATCCTTCAGTCTAGAATCAAACTGTCACTTTTAAAATGCTCAGCCCTTAAACGTGCCAAAGGAAGTTTGGGTGCTGCGCTCCGGTAGGAAGCTGACCAGGTATGTGGTATGAACCTTCCTCGGGCAAAACCAGTCCTTCCAAACGCTGATCTGAAATGGCAGCTGATCCTTACAGATGTCCCTGGACTTGGTCCAAGCCCTGACCTAACGCTGTAGGATCAGGAGCTTATCGAGGGACAAAGTGCCCATCCTGAATATTCAGCAGAAGGTCCCTTCTGGACACGAGATTGTGGCTGTGGGCTAGTGGCCTTTAGTAGGTCTGTGGTAGTTGTGTAGGAGATCCATTATTATTATTTCCATTGTAACGCAAAGAATATTTTTGATTGTCTGGGGTTATAATGTCAATCTTCTTTTAAATTGATACTGCATTTTTTCCACGGTCGGAGCCTCTTAGTCGTACTTTGTTTGGAATATCGTAAAAATTAATACTAACATAGCCGTGGCAGTAAACAGAACTGGTTGTTTTTAGAGCAACTCTGTCCTTTAAGCTTGTAGTAGAAAGGATTACTTAGTGAAAATAGGACTGGTGAAGGGATGTGTGCGGAATACATTCACGGGCCTGTGGCTTGATGCTGTTATTAACAGAGCAGCACAAAAGCCTGCTTTCAGCAGCGATGAGAGCGCTTCCCTTCCTGTGAATCCTACTGTTTATGCTTCTCTGAATTGCATCCCATCCCTCTCTGGCTGGAGGACCAGGAGCTCCACTGGTGCTCTGCAGCAAGTCCCTCCAGGCAGGGACTCTGGCACCCCCTGGGCGAGCCCCGCTGCTGCGTGCAGCCTCCAGGACAGCGGCCGCGCCGCCTTGCTGAGCCCCTTCGGAGAAGCAGCCTGGGGAACGCCAGGCGCAGTTCCTCCGGGCTTCCTGCCTTTCGGATCCTGATTGGCAAATGCTCGACTGGTTAAAGGACAAACAGTAAACAAGGACTCGGTGTGGGGTTAGGGCTAACATCGCGTGTGTCCCTGGTTTTCCTGCCCCCAGCCCGCGGGCTCCTTGATCAGCAGGCTTGGGTCTGAGGGGCTCGGTCAGGCTGGCTGTGAAGACCTTTGTTTGTATGAATGCACTGCCTTGTTTTGGCCTAACAGCGAGGGCCGATGCTCTGCTGGCAGCGGGGCAGCCCTTGTTTTTCATTTCAATTAACACTTGCTTTATGCTGAAGTTGTGCTGTGCTTTAACGTCAGCGTCACGGACGGGAAGGGTTCTGTACGTAAAGGGAGGAGACAAGCGGGGTCTAGGTACACAACACCTTGCCTGCGGTGGATGTCTGAGTGCTTCTGATCACTTCTGAATTACCCTGTATAACGGAGCTTCTCTCTGACGCAGACCCGCAGCATTGAATTTTTGTCCTCGTTTAGTCCAGTTGAAGAGCCCAAACTTAATTTTAGGAACACTTGGCCAGAGACCGTTCTAGCCTAGCATAAGTGGCAGGCTGAACAGCTCGCTGGCTGTGGGATGCTAGGCAGTTCGAGGTGCTTTGGCAGGTAGCCTGGCCATTTCATTCATCAAAAGTTACACTAAAGAGTTCTTTTCTTAAAAAAAGCTCCTTGGTAAACCAGAGTCAGCGGAAAAGATGTGAAACCCCTTCCGTGTCTCAGGGGTAGGGAATGGGCCAGGATGATGGGCAAAAGCACAAACGTGGCTTTTATGAATTACCAGGGGGCAATTACCTTACTGACTTCACCAGAGCGACGTTTGTTTGTGTGTTTTCAGATTCCTTTATTCAGATGAAGTTCAGATCGGACCAGAGACTGTTATGACAACACTTTACACAGCTAAAAAATATGCAGTTCCAGCCCTTGAAGCTCACTGCGTGGAATTCCTTAAAAAAAACCTCCGAGCAGACAACGCGTTCATGCTGTTAACACAGGTGAGTTCGCAGCCCTGTGCGTGGAGTCCCTTGAGGAGGGTCTGTCACAGCAGGAAAATGGGAGTTACCACCCAAAACGCAGCAGTTCTGCGTGGTTTTGATCCCCACCTCACAGGACTCTGGTGCTGCTGAGCAGGTTCTCACGAAGAACAGTAAAACACAGCAAATGTTGCTGCCATTTCAGAAGTGTTTTCTCTTTCGGTGTGGCAGGAGATTCCTTCCAGAGTGTGAGCTGGGGAAGAAATTAGTAGGGTGGAAAAAATTCACCTGCCAAGAAGAAATGTGGAAGGAGAGGATTTTCGCTTGTTCAGGTTCAGGGCTGGTGTAATAAGCTTTCTCTGTGCAAAGCTTGCTGCATCTGGCTAGTCAGACCTTCTCTGGGGGGCTTTTTTTGCAACAGTGTCCCTCAAAGGGGGATGAAAGTCAAAAAATGCAACTTTGCCATGAGTGCTTGGGTTTACTTTCCTAGGAGAGGGACAAAGTGATCTCTTTCTCAGCCTGCTGCAGCCCCCTCCCGCTGTACCGAGGGCATGCACACCCGGAGTTACAGGGCAGCTGCCTTTCCGGACTCTGTGAGGTGGGTTGTGCGTCCTTATGCCCCTCTCTCTGACCCGATCTGTGGGGGTTGGACTCCTCCATCTTTCATTTGACTCTTGTAAGCGGCAGAGTAGTGACAGTGTTTACAGGTTCGGTTCATTTTGGGCAAGATCAAGCTTTGCATGCAGGTTGGTAGAATCAGCATCACTGTCCTTCCTAGAGCCATGTTCTGGTCCTTGCCACCCCCCTGCTCACAGCTGCTGACGTAGCAGTGACTGCTGCAGTGCCATCACCTGTGGGAGGTGTAGGAGCAAGAAACAAGTAGGCATTGTGTGTGTGAGATTCTTCCCTTTAGGGAAGGGGATGGCTCTGGAGGAGTATCTCTGATCAGCCAGCTTGGGAAAGCTGCTGTGATTTCTGATGTGAACCCCTCTGCAAGGTGCGTTTTTCACAGCTGCCCTGCCTCGGGCACCAGCGCTCTAGGATGGTCTGGCTCCCAGGGTTGGCCTGGCTTGCCCAGCGTATCTTGCCACAGGCTTTTTTCCTCCTTGTCAGGTGTACAAGTGTTTTTCGGGCTCTGACTGTAGCTGTTGCATCGGTGTCAGCGGCTACGCCAGCAGTTTTCTTGTGGAAATTGAAGCAGTGTTGCCCTAAAGCAGCGCTGGCCCGAAGCAGTAGCTGTTGAGCTCTGTTTGCTGTGGTTAGGCTGGGCTTTTCTTTGAGCTTCACCATTTGGACCAGGTTCTCAGAGCAGTTCCACGTCACGTTGCTGTTGCAGATGCCTCAGTCCTGGGATTCAGCTATTGCTGCAGAATACCACCTCCCTCTTCACACATCATTTTTTTTTTTTCTTTCTAACTTGGCCCCTTTCCACATGCCATAGCGGGGTGAGGCAGCCTCCGAGACGTGGAGGTAGTACGATGCACCTCCCCGGAGAAGATTTAGGACTTGAAAAATCTTGCTTGAGTGATGGTAGCCAAACCTGCGCTCCCGGCTGACGTGTGGTAGGACAGTTGTAACTGCCTGCAGCACTCCTGTTCGTTGGGTCCCGCAGCCTGCGTTCGGAAAGGCCAGGAGCTGAGAAGAGGGCTGTCCTGTAGGCTGTAGTTTTGAAGAAGCATCTTACTCCAGCTGTCACCTCACAGGGTTCGAGGTGTCAACTTTCTGGTCTTTGTGGCGGGGTCTTTGCAGCGTGCTAGGTCTCTGCAGCCTGACTCGGCAGCTTTGGCAAGGTAACATGTAGGTTCACAGTGACTTCCTGCAAGTCACAAACATCCTTCTGTGGCAAAGGAGGAAGGTGTCCTAGTTTTTCAGATACTAAAAACAAGATAGTGCCTGGCACTCTGTCAGCTGCACTGGGGCAGCTGAAATGCCAGATGGAGGCAGGCTTTCCTGGTTCCTTTTGTTTGTGGCTGTGGATTAATTATCAGTGGTGATACCTATCTGGTTTATGTTCACTACTGCAGCATATCAAGTCTTGAAAACGTTTGAGTCTGGTTTGCCTTGAGAAACGTATCTGTGTCTCAGTGACTGGCTGCGTGAGGTGCCTCACTTCATGCGTCTGTCCCCAAAATGCTCTCGGTTCTGGTCCTTCAGTGTGAAAATTGGCCTCTGTTTTTCTGCTTTTACTACAACAAATTGACGATTTGTACAGTTACAGACCTGAGATGCATCTCGTACAAAACATTTCCCAACAGGGTTGAGATTGTGGATCTAAGACCACAGAGCCCCAAACCTCCTTTCTGCGTATTCTTACTGAATCCTGCTGGTCCAGCAACTGTCGTTGGTAGTGTTTCAAGCAACTGCTAATCTCTGGCAGAAATATCAGTGGCAAATAGCTTTCCTAATGGACTCTGCCTCACAGTGAGCTGTGATCCTCTTTCGTGCCAGACGTACATGCAGATGTCACTTTGATCAACAAGGAAATAATAGTTTGCCTGAAGCTGCTGCGAGGGAGAACTCTGCGAGCGTAACGTAAGCCTTCACGTGTCAGAAGGGAGCCACTACACTAGTAAAGTCTGAGTCAGTCACAGCTCGTGGATGCCAAGAGTGCAAGGCACTGGCAGTCCTCCATCCCTGGGAGCAGATGACGACTCCTGAAGCTTCCCTGGTCCCTGAGAAAATAGGGACTTGTTTCAGCTCTCTGCACTTGATGTCTCAGCACCGAAGCCTTGCTGAGCTCTGCAGCCCACGAGCAAGGGTGAAACAGATGCTCGGTGGTGCTGGCCTCTGAGTGACTGGATTCCCAGCCCAAACCACAACTGTTAAGCATCACCTGTGGCAGGGAGTTTAAGTTCCAGGGTATTCTTGCTCTAATGCTGGGTGTGATGTTAAGGCAGGCGCTTCCTAAATAGCACAACGAAAGGATTGGAAATAAGAGGTCAGCACTGTGGCTTCTGTAGGTTCATTTCTGCTCATGGTAGGCACAGGGTTGGTAACGTGTCTTTGTTGTCCAGGGGGACCTGAAGTGGCCATGTAACTGGTACAAGGCTGCACTTAGGTTGGGCAGAGAGATGCTGAGCAACTCTCCAAGCTGTGTGCAGACTTTGTTTGAAACAGTAACCTATTCTGGGGGGAATTCTGTAAGGTAACTAGATTAGAGTAGTTGTTTCTGTGCAAAATGTGCAAATGCACTACGCAGGCTGTGTACCACGCAGGGGTTTGCGCATCTCCCCCCGGACACGTGCAGTGTGCCTGCAAAGTGTGCTTGCTAATACGTGAGATCAGTGTGGCTCTGTTCTTGCAGAATGAGCTGTCTCTGCATATTCCTAGAATGAGCAGGCTGGAGTCATTGGGCAAAGCTTTCTTCTAAACATAAAAAATTATCATAGAATCGTTTAGGTTGGGAAAGATGTACAAGATCAAGTCCAACCGTTAACCCAGCACTGCCAGCTCCACCACTAAACCCTGTCCCTGAGCACCACATCTACATGTCTCTTAAATCCCTCCAGGGCTGGTGACTCCACCACCTCCCTGGGCAGCCCGTTCCAATCCTGACAGCCCTTTCTGTGAAGAAATTTTCCCTCATACCCAATCTGAACCACCCCTGGTGCAAATTGAGGTCTTTTCCTCTTGTCCTATCGCTGGTCACTTGGGAGAAGAGACCGACCCCACCTCTCTGCACCCTCCTTTCAGGGAGTTGCACAGAGCGATCAGGTTTGCCCTGAGCCTCCCCACAGATCCCTCAGCCATTCCTCACAGGAATTGTGCTCCAGACCCTTCCCCAGCTCTGTTGCCCTTCTCTGGACATGCTCCAGCCCCTTAGTGACCTTCTTAGAAGAGCCCGCCCCCACCTCTCTGCACCCTCCTTTCAGGGAGTTGCACAGAGCGATCAGGTTTGCCCTGAGCCTCCTCCAGGCTGAACCCCCCCAAGCTCCCTCAGCCATTCCTCACAGGAATTGTGCTCCAGACCCTTCCCCAGCTCTGTTGCCCTTCTCTGGACATGCTCCAGCCCCTTAGTGACCTTCTTGTAGTGGGGGGCCCAAAACTGAACACAGGGTTTGAGGTGTGGCCTCACCAGTGCCCAGTACAGGGGCACAATCCCTGCCCTGGTCCTGCTGGCCACACCGTTCCTGATGCAGGCCAGGATGCTGTTGGCTGCCTTGGCTACCTGGCACGTGCTGGCTTATACTTAGCCGCTGCCAATTAACATGCCCTAGTGACCTTCTTGTAGTGGGGGGCCCAAAACTGAACACAGGGTTTGAGGTGTGGCCTCACCAGTGCCCAGTACAGGGGCACAATCCCTGCCCTGGTCCTGCTGGCCACACCGTTCCTGATGCAGGCCAGGATGCTGTTGGCTGCCTTGGCTACCTGGCACGTGCTGGCTTATACTTAGCCGCTGCCAATTAACATGCCCCCTGGGTCCTTTTCTGCCAGGCAGCTTTCCAGCCCCTCATCCCCAAGGCTGTGGCACTGTCTGGGGTTGTTCTGGCCCAAGTGCAGGACCCTTGGCCCATCCATCCAGCCTGTCCAGGTCCATCTGCAGAGCCGTCCTGCCCTCAGGCAGATCAACTCTCCGACCCAACTCTGTGTCATCTGCAAAGTGACTGGGGGTGCCCTCGATCCCCTTGTCCAGGGCACTGATAAAGACGCTGAACAGAACTGGCCCCAGCACTGCTCCCTAAGGAACAAACGCCACGTGTGACCGGCCGCCGATGGGATTTAACTCCATCCACTACAGCCCTTTGGGCCCAGCCAGTTCGTAACCCAGTGGAGTGTATTGCCCACCCAAGCCATGAGCAGCCAGCTTCTCCAGGAGAATGCTGTGGGAAACGCCATCAAAGGCTTTGCTAAAATGACGTTGTAAGAATTCCCCATGCTCAGCTGGCATGGCCAGTATGGCACTAGAAAGGACTGTCGCCATGTTAACTGGGGGGGTGTTAGCCCAGGGCCGTGTCTGAAGACATGCACAGCTCAGGCAGAGCTAATGCCGAATGCAGGTTGTTCTAGCGTCTGCCTTCCCATGCCTGTGAGACTGCTGCAGCTCAGTGAGCCCGCGGTGCAGTCAGGCGTAGGATTGCTAATGAAGATGGGCTTTGGGGGAGAAGAGGGGATCCTTAGTGTAAACTTCAAAATACCTTTTGTGTTAATGAAGTTTCTTCGTTACTAGGCGAGACTTTTTGATGAGCCGCAGCTGGCCAGCCTGTGCCTGGAGAACATCGACAAGAACACGTCGGACGCCATCAATGCGGAGGGGTTTACGGACATTGATCTGGGTAAGCTGCTTTCCCTCCTCCCCTCGCGTGCTTTCACAGCAAGCCAGCCTCTGCAGCGACGGGAGCTTAATACTTGGCACCTCTCCTCATGGCTCTGCTGCTCTGGACCGATGTGCTGAACGACCTCTGGCACTCGGTGGCTAGAGCCAGGGCGTTTGCAAAAGGGCATGCTTGCCTGCAGAAATATCCTGGAATCTGCTTACTTCGGTGCAACTTGATTTTTCTGGGCTTGATACGGAGCCTGTTTCCTCTGTTGATGTTGGCAGGTTTTGGGTGGGTGTAACTTGCCTTCTTTTGTGGAGTTGGCATCATTCCCTGAGTCTTCGTGAGTTTTTGGAGTTAAAAAGGTGCTGTGTTCTTTAGAAGCAAGAGCTGGCTATTTTAATTATCGAATGCAGGTTCTAAACTTGCTGGGCACATTTAATAATCATTAAAATTCAGACTTTAACCTTCTTGTAACGAGATGGACTGTGGAGGCAAGGCACGGGTAACCTTCTGGCTCTTGTGCTGCTTGCTTCTTCCAGATTTGATGTCAGGTAAGTCGCAGTTCGTTTACTGCACTTCATTAACGTGCCAGTGCAATGGGCAGTTTGCTGCTCCACTGAGTGGCTCATGGAATATGCAGATACGTCTTCCCTAGAGGCTGCAGGCAGCACTTTTGGGAGATGCCATGTCTGCAATTGCTTCTCTCACCTTGGCTGTACGTGGGGTACTTCTGGTGAGTTAAAGTGGGGTGACTTGGGCTAGTGCCTGAAGTTGTCGCTCTCTGTCCTGCCTTGCAGATACCCTGGTTGCGGTGCTGGAGAGGGACACCCTGGGGATCCGGGAGGTTCGTTTGTTTAATGCAGTGGTTCGCTGGTCAGAGGCTGAGTGTCAACGGCAGCAACTTCAGGTGATTCCAGAGAACAAGCGGAAAGTACTGGGCAAAGCGCTTTCTCTTATCCGCTTCCCATTGATGACTATTGAGGAGTTTGCAGCAGGTAACTGAACAAAGGCGTTTCTGGCAACCCTAGTCTTTGTTTTTCCTGAACTGCAGAGGATCAAGTATATGAAAGTGGAGTTGCTCTGTGTATCCTGTACTAATTTAAATCTGAGACTGTCCCCTGTTCCTGTTGGTCTGCAAAATGTACTGTGTGAATGCTGTTTTCATCCGTGATCACTCTCTTGTTTTAAAGACCATGGTGCTCCATCAGGTAGGAGAAGTCAGATCACAGCCGGCTCTTTGTGCTCGTAGCATGTTTAGAAGGTTACTTCTCGTTCAGTTGGGAGCAGAGGTCCAGAAGGGTTCACGTACTTTCCTTTCAAACCACTCCAAGCGTTTAAAGGACACAAAGCTAACGGAGTAGCAAATAAGTGATGTTGATTGTAGCCTGCCCCCAAAGAGAACGGAGGATCTTTCTCCCCCCTTTGCTGCCGCTGGTAACCAGTGGTGATGTCGGCTGTGTTTTGCTGATGCCACTCAGAGCAGAGCCCCGGAACAGAACAAACTTCAAAAATGTTCCTCGAGCCGAAGGGCTGGCCTTGCTTAGTCTGGGTCTCAAAGCATTTTTCAAGTTTACATTAAGATCTGGATCTACAGAGATGTCTAAATCATCAAACAGTTTTGACTGAAGAGATTTCTGTTCTGTTTTCACTGCCTGTTGTCTTTCACTTCACACTCTGGTGATTCTCCAGGGATTGAAAACTGGCAATGGGCTTAAATAGTTTTCATGCTGAAAGACTCTGTGGAGCCATGTTCAAAACTGAAACTTGTTTGAGGCTGCAGTTATGTGTACAGAGAAATAAAAGGGGTCACTGACACCGTTTCCTTTGCAAATCACTTCTTGAGGCAGAGATGGCGTCAGCTGATCGACAGTTAATGTTCATCCTTAAGACGAAGAGGGATATTAGAAGTAAATCTGTGCTTCGCACTGGGTACCCGCTTGCTGTTTTGCCTGGCACAGCTGCGATGTGATCTTAGGGCCGTGAATCTCTTCTGAAACGGCTTGGTGAGGGAGGCAGAGATCCGTTCATCCGCGCTGGGTGACATTCCTTTGTGTTGGCACTGGGTGAAGCCACGGCACGCTGTGCCCCTCGGGGTGCGTCGTGCCGAGCAGCAGCTTCGCGGCAGGTCGCAGGCTGACAGCCCGGGTTGGTGGGAGAGCATGCCCCTTCCGGACGGCGTCACGGCCACCAGCGTAGCTCGTATGTACCAAACTTGGTGTTTTCTGTAGATGCGGTTTCTTTCAACCCTTCCATCATTCTGTCTTGCTGGGAGCAGTGTGTTCCTTTTGGCATCTTTGGGTTGAAGCCTTCGAGCTGGGAACATCAGTGCCTCCTCCCCACACTGTCACAGTTGCCTCTTCCACTTGGATCTTTGGGTAGTCCTCTTGCTTCGAGGGCAGCTGACGTTCTCTGTGTCCACTTCAGAGGTCGCACAGAAGACACCCTAAAGCTGAGAGGCTGCGCTGGGCAGCTCTTCCTTAAAGAAGGGGCTACCCTGGAATTGCTTCAGCTCACGCCTTTTTCTGGGTTTGAGTGGCTGGTCGCAGCAGAGGTAGGGAGAGGGAAACCACTCCCCTCCGCCCCCTCTCCGCAAAGCAAAACAAGGGATTTTTAGAGGCAGTGCTTTCCCCAGTTTATTGTAGAATCTGGTATTGCACATGGAGTTTTGCTTGAAGGTGTAACTGGCAGATGTGTCACTCCCTTCCCTCAGAGCAGGTAATCTGAAACGCTGCGGAGTTGGACTGCCGCAGCGCAGGATGAGCTGAGACATGCTCGGTGACGGCTGACTTCTGCTGAGCAAAAACCCGTAACCTCATTTAGCTGCTAGCAGTCAACTTCCTTAAATTCTTTCATCTCCACCTATTGCAGCCTTGGAGCGTCTGCGTAACGGCGTGCTGACTGTAACCAACTACAAGTAGTTTTGGACCGAGTAGTGGGCAGTTGCTCCCCACATCAGAGAGCACGTGCGGGGTAGTCTGGTTGCTGCTAAAAGCCTCTTGCAAACAGCGGTGCAGAGCAGCTGTTGACTCTTGTGCTGATGTCCTGGTTCAGCACCCTGCGACCAGCTCGGCTCGCTCGCTCCTGACTCCTCTTCCCACTGCGATGGGGAGGAGAAGGTACAAGGAGAGGTGCTTGGGTCGGGACAAGGACAGGGAGGGATCACTCACCAGTTGTGGTCATGGGCTCAACAGGCTTGCCTTGGGGAAAAAATTGGATTGGTAACAAATTAAATTAATCAGAGCAGGATAATGAGAAATAAAACCAGACCTTAAAAACACCTCCCCACCCTCCCTTCTTCCCGGGCTCAGCGTTGCTCCCCGTTTCTTTCCCTCCTCCACAGCGGCACAGGAGCATGAGGAATGGGGGTTGTGGTCAGTCCATCACACGGTGTCTCTGCTGCTCTTTCCCCCTCGGGGCAGGATACTCACACCTCCCCCA